GCCTCTCAAAAAAAATAAAAACATTTTCTGTTAAAATTTGTTTTTATTTGCTAAAATATTTGACAGTGCTCACATTTTGCAGGTTTAATCAATTCATCAGCCAAAAGTGCTGTGTAGTGGTGAAATGAGTGAACATAACATTGAACATGAAGATAATTTTGTTAGGGTTACATTAGAAATAAACCTTTTATTGTTTTGCTTAAAATTGTCACTGCCAACTTTCATTTATGGCATCTATGCATGATTGTTGCGTGTGTATACACAAAAGCAGAGATGAAATACGGCAGTATTATATATATCTATCTCAAAATATCATCTATCTCAACTTGGTCTTTTAAGCAATTTAATTGTATTCATAAACTTTGCGTTCTTTTTCAATATATTTTGTAATGAATTTTTCCTAGTTAGATTACTGAATATTTCTTCAGTTGTAGAATAATAATAATAACAAATTTTATTGCATCCTTGAAATAAATTTTTCATCAGTTAAAAGCAATAACAATGAAATACATATTAACAAAAAATGTGAAATGCTCAAAACAAAAGGGGGAAAAAAAAAGTAAGAATTATCTTTTAATTGGATGTTCTGTTCTAATGTCAAATATGGCATTCACCCACTTGTCTTATAATTTCAACATCATTGCAAGTCATCAGGTATATAAATTTCTGATTAATGTTATGGGCTGTGTTTGGAATTATTACATCTCTCAATAGTTTTTGTCTGTTATTGTAATATTTTGGACATTCCATGAAAAAATGTACCTCATTTTCTATTTTGTTCTCTGAACAATGTACATGTATACATAATCTGTTTTCTTTGGATGTTTTTGGTTGCGTACATGTATGTCTACCTTTCTCTATTGCTAATGGATGGTTGCTAATTCTAAATCTGGATATGCAATATCTTTGTTTTAAATTAAGAGTGTCTAAATATTTTTCATACATGTAGGTGTATGTTTGTTTTAGTTTTGCATATGTCCGGAGTTTGTCATTTTGGTTGCTTATGGTTATTTTCCACCAATCCATGAATTTTTCTTTGATGTTGTTGGTAATTTATAAATTAGTTTAATATCCCTGGGTGATAAGTCTGACTGGTTATTCATCGAGATATTTTCTTTTATCAATTTTTTAACAGAATTCATCCATGGCAAGTTAAACTCCTTCTGTTCAT